CCTGCCAGACGACTCTGGAACCAATTCACCGACCCCGGAGGGATGGAAGGCTTGGTTGGCCTGGGCGGGCATCGGTCCGGGATTCGAACCCCTGACCGTGCGTGTGATATAGTGCGCCACTTGCCACTACGCCACCTCCGCCCATAGGCCACATACGCATTTATTATGCCACTGTGATTCTGAATGGGAATTGAATCGGGGGCCCATCCCTCAGACGGAATCGATCGAGAGTTTGTCCATCAAGTCCAAATCTTGTTTGATTGAGCTTTCGCGAGTTTACTCTTCGAAATTGGTGGCCTAGGACTGCATGTGGTTGTGGGCTATCTACCTCGTCAATGTATGAAGCTGTTGGGTGCTTTCACGATTGGCAGTACTCACCAAATGGAGCAAAGCTTCTCTTACACTCCACTTCCTAGAACTTACCAGATTAGCTAAGGATTTTTTGTTGACAGTTTCGACTGGATTTTTAATAACTTGTATTATTTGATAAATTTGCACTACTCGATTTTGGAGGGAAATCAACGACGTCCATTTGCTGATCGACGGTGATCTCCTTTCAGGGTAACTTCCTGGCAGTCCTGGCAGTGAAATGTAAAAAAAAAACGTCGCAATAAGGAATTCAATGGAATAACCCGCTGATTCGATGACAAAGCCCTTAAATATTCTTTTAGGTACTTTGGTTCTATGTTATGCCGTGTGGTGGGAGGTATACAAGCGATTGGCCTATTCATTGGCACGTTTTCCCTATGCGCCATCGCCATCGACAGGTACTTCCGGCTCGTTATCGCTCCAGGTAAGGACCACTTTGAAATGCATTCACATAAATTGACTGTAGAGATTAAGGGGTTTCTCTCAGAAAGCTAATTTGAGCTGCATTCATGAGTGATAACCAATGATATCAAGTGATAACCCTTCGTTCCATCTCACTAGAGCTGTTTTTCAGAATTATTTCGGTTCCGTCAAGTAATTGGGTAAACAACTGACGAATATCTTTGTAGGTAGCCCATTGCGTAAAGTGAATGCGATTCGAATAACAATTCTCCTCTGGATTATCTCCATCATCGTTACTCTTCCTTATGTATACCATATGAAAATGAAAAAGTATCCCACGATAAGTGAGTGTTACGGTGTTACAGTGGTAACTCGTCCACACTGAATAACTCGTTTCACTTGACGCTTTTACAGATGTATGTGGCGAATTCTGCACGGAGAAGTGGCCAAATGTTCATTCGAAGCGCATCTACACATTATTCGTGCTCGCCATTCAGTTTGTCATTCCTTTCACGATAATGACCATCTGTTATCAAGCGGTGAGTAGTCAGCCTAATTCATACTGCGAAGTAGAACCTCTAAACTACTTCAGGTGTTCTCGTTCCTTCGACGTAGAGCGAAATCTCGTCTGACTTCTATCGCTCAACAAGCAAATCTCCTTTATGTAGTAGCAGCTACCGCCGGAGGAGATACCCAACAGCACAAGGAGCAAGTATGTGACAGTTGTGAGCATAGAAAGGAATTCCAGGTGTACTTGACTTAAGAGTTCTGGCAGGCCTTTATCATGCTTACAGCTGGTGTACCTCTTAACTAGCCTTCATGGTTTTCCTCTCTCAACCCGTACGAACCTTTCGACATACATATATGATGAGATAAACATTCCTACTACTCGACGGAATTTGAGTTGCAGCCTTCATTATTCCCTTCTGGATGTGTCCGACCCCGAAAATTCATAACCTCTGTTTCCGGGACCCAGAGCGTTCATGTTGAGTGAGAGTACAGAAGGCAGCTTGGAAACACTTATGGTGGGTGGCGCGACCATTTTTGCGAATTTGTCTCCCAAACCCGCCTCTGAATTTGGAATTATGCAGAAGTTGGGCGAAAATAGCTTCTTTGATACTGGTGCTACATAGTAGACTGCTCTTTATCCTTCACTTGAAGCAGAATCAGGTAGCTTGATCACTAACAGACAGTCTAAAGATTCTTCGGTGAGGCTTATGAGAAAGTACCATACGTGAAGATACGGATATCCGAATAACCTTATCAAAACGGACCGCNCTTGATCAGCAGACGTATCTGCGAAATAGCTGTAGTGACTATACAATTCTTGACGGAATTAAAGGCACAGTTCACGATAAAAATTATTACTTAGTTCTTCCTTAGGAATACCCAGTGGCCCCCAAGGGTAATACGAAGGACCTTCTCTCGCGCCAAAATACTCGACGGTTACGTCACGTCATACGAGTGTCGAAGCAATACAGATTGCAAGTATTCGCGTCAGGACCCACACATAATCAGCTGGTCGCTGAGTGATGGGGCGATATTTTTCTCCCATTTTTTCTGTGTTATTCTTTTTGCTACTGCGATTCTCACTTTAATCTTTACCTCATATGACTGAAAGTTTGGCTTTGTTAACTTATGCTTAAGGGTGGCTGACTTTTTGCTCACCGTAGTCAGCACTTCGCACCAGGACCCACACGCACGCAGCGGCGCACAGTGTGTAGCTCGTCCAAACGCCCCATTCTGCTTCATTTTCTAGTCATTCTCGTCCAGCCCCCTTTTTAATGGTTTTTCGAAGCCTTTTTTTTCACTTTGAAAGCACGGATTCACGCAGTTTCTTTGCCTTCATTGCACTATTTTCCATCTAATCTTCCGTTTTTCGCCATAATTTGGATAACCTAAAATTATCATGAACTGAGCTTTAAAAATAACGAATAAGGACCAAAAGAAATTGAATTTGTCATTGAATTAGGTCCATTTCACATTCAATAGTACACCTTACAGTTGCAGCAATGTTGTTTCAGTTAACTCATCTGATCGAACAAAAACGACGAGTAATGCAGCAAAGGCGTCGAGTGACATTGATTTTGGTGTCAATGGTAGTGATTTTCGGCATAACATCTCTGCCACACAACATTGTCAGCACACTAATGGAATTCACCGACAGCCGTGATCTGCTCGCCTACAACGGCAACGACTATACCTACCTCTTGAATCTCATCACGCACTTGTACGTCGTTTTTCCTTTCTTCTCAAAAATATTATCTTGGGAAGAGCAATATTGCCAGATTCCATTTGAAATCTTATTCTTTTAGTCTGGCAATGCTCTCATGTGTCGCTAATCCGATGCTCTACGCGTTCCTGAATCCGGAATTCCGAGAATTGATCCTGAATGGATTGGCCGGGTTCAAGTGGACACCACGTTTCGTCAGCCGGACATGGCAACCCACTCAGACTACGGTAGTGTGATCGGCACGCTCTCATGGGGTAAACTTTCACCCCTGCTGTAAAAGTAGTTGTGATAGTTTTCTATTTTAAAAATACTCCATTGTAAAAGTATCATTAGGATATTCACCGAATGATATAGCAACTCACGGATGCTTTTTCTACAAAGAAAAAAAAATCGTAGAAATTGTGTGTATGGTTAGTAGTGAAGACACAAGTCAACTTTTCAGTGCTGCGGAGGAAAACCACAACAATCTGTTTTGTTAGCTATCTGAATGCATCGACGACGACTCCGCTGTCGGTACTTTATTGTTCTTCAAAGAACTAAAGCAATTTCAAGATGTGGTTCGAAAACACTTTCACGCTTTGGAAGAAAGTTCCTAGTGAAATAGTCCCAACATACGATCGTCGTTTTCCACTCGTACGTCACCTTTTCTTACCCGACCGATGGTTTCCACATGCATAGCGAAAACTATAGAGAGCGGCCACCTACCTCGATGTCTCCAGAAATTTTTCTTTTCTTCTTATTGAAGCAGTCTCGGTACATATCAAATGATGAAGAGTGATTAGACATCATCATTTAAAACTGTAGGCAACTTGGGCTAATGGATTACCCTCCTTTGAAATGGATCTCGTGTGGCATTCAGGTTTTGCGGGCTAGAGTCATTCACGAGGATCGACGTCATGCCTGTAACAAGGTTGACTACACGCATGATAGCTACTTTCGCTACTGTAGAGAATTACACAAGTACAGGTATACAAGTCACGATTGCACTTAAGGCCCATGATTCGATTTTCCACGACGACTAAACGGATGGACAATCTCCCCTCAGGAAGAATGGAAACTTACACAAACTGTACACTGAGGTCAGGTCAAATGTTGGAAAAATATACTTCCTGTAATGGCTATGCTTGTTTTGAGCCTACCCCCCCCCCCCTCTTCCTCCCTTTCCCCCTCCTTGAGGCGAAGGTCGAGTGCAACCAAGTATCGTACTATCACTAACATGATCTGTGCGATCAAATTCCTGTTAGATATACCTGTAGCCAGTTTAAGAAATTTCCAAAAAGATAAAAGCGCTATTACCCTGAATGACTCCGCAGGTCACTTAATGGGGCCTACATCCATCTATAAGCCACAACCATTTTGGGTGGAAGTTGAATGTGTCCTCGCACCCATAAATGGGGTTGATCAACGCCTAAAGACGAATCAGACTTCTAAAGTCATTTGAAGCCTGCTAGCATATATGATAGGGTTTACCACCCAGTTCGTAAACACTGCAGTCAGTCTCATTTGTATTGCAACCACTTAGGCAGTTTTCCTATTCTATTTCATAGATTTTACAGTCATTTTCGCTTTCGTGAAACTCACTTTGTAAACTTTGCAATCAATCTTCCAAATTTTACAACTGGTTTTCCTAACTTGATTTTGGAGTATGTAAACTCTTCGCTTTATTTCAACCTTATTTTTCTCTCATCCGTAAAGTGGGAAACCTCAACAACTTCATTTAAAAAGTGGATGAGCCCATATTACCATAATTTTGTGGAATCGAACAATGCCCTTCCCCAAGACGGCGTTATCGACGACTTTCAGAAACCAAATACAGCTCATCAATAACCACCGTTGAACGCGACTATTCTCGGCGTATAGTGAGTAGATCACTCGACTGCTGATTGTAATGCTATTTGGGGCGCTCTTATCAGACTTCATATTAGAGAAAGTTTACGAAAGTTAATACAAAATTAACGTAATTGGAGGCAAATTTTACAAAATAAGGTCTACAAATACCAAAATGACTGCAAAATTTCGGATATGGTGTCAGAGGGCCTCGTTTACGAACTGAAGTGGAAAACTCGTGTCTATTCGCCGGTCTGATTTCCTACTTCACAAATTAACATATATAATCCTAATTACCGTAATATGATTTCTTGGAAATTTATGGTAATTCTATTTCAATCACTCCATTTTCCTCCTTATCGTGTTTATGAAGCGTTCGTTGAAATGCCCTGATATGTATGTATCTATGTATTTATGTATCTATGTGTGCATGCACGTAATAGCGATGTTTTTTTTATTTGCAACTGACATATTTTCCTTGACTCGGGTTATCTTGATCGAAGCATCTCTTCTTTATTTTGCAGAGCATTTACTTGAATAAACGATATTTTATAAATGAGCCATAGTTCTTTGTTTCACAACCACAGAACATAAACAGATGGTTGAGTAGAAATCATTGAAGCTGTACCAGCACATTAGAACAAAGACACGTATAACAATCAAAACTCATCATACCTACCTCACCTCGAAGAGATTAATACAATTATTTTATGATATGCTGCTTAACCTTATTGACAGACCCATTGTTGTAGAGATTCGATGAGTTCTTTGGATCAGCTTTTGGTCTCCATGATTCATTTTTTCGGGGAGTAGAGAAATCGGTAGGAAAAACTGGTCCGTACGAAGAAGATTGCGTGGTGTCCTGAATGGAACGGAGTTGGTAAATCATACTGTTTTAGCTCAAATTGATACCTTCGATTGTTGTGTGCGCGGTTGCTGGAGAATGGGTTCATGAGCTGCCTCGCGCGACTTTTCCGATGACTCTGGCCCACTCTTTGGCCTCGCCCCTGACTGAAAGTCGAAATTCCAATAATGCTGAAAATTTTGATCTGTATACAACATTAAGTTCAACACGAAAAAATCGCTGTGGAAGAAGGCCATTTTAGGGTATATTCACAATGATGGGAAGGTAGAAAAGTCAGATGATATTGGGATCAACTGTATAAATGTCATAGTGGACCACTGATTGTACACTGCGATTTACTCCTGTAGTCTATTCTTCGCATTACCAAAACATTACCGGGTGCAGTAATTCCATTTTGTAGCATACACTATCTGATTTGTTACACAATGCACTGATGACACAAGTGATTTCAAGAAAGTTTGGGCCAGGGATCTTTTCAAACAAGTATCTTACCGAATTTCAGTCGTCTCATGCCATACGTCTACCCTGATTTATTGTTTATTTACAAAGTCAGTGAGATTTCATCAAAAATAAACCCTCAATCAAAGCTTCTCGTTTCAAAACCACATCCACCAATCGATGTGATACATTCGCCGAGCGTTTTCGAAGATTGCAGAATCGACGCTTTTCCATACACTCATAATCGCATCTTTCATTTCGCTGTTCGCGAAAAACTGCTTGCAATTATTGTAAACCCGTTGAACAACAATATTCCATGAAATTTCAGTGAATTTAGGTCAGGACTACATGTGGGCACTTCTCTAATGTCGATTCCGCGCTGTTGAAACCACATCAAAGTTAACTTGCTAGCGTGGAGCCTCGCATTATCTTAGTGGAAGACAAGATTCTGCTTTCGCCACCAGTCAATTATAGGCAGTAAGTTGAATTCAAAAATCTCTTGTACTCTCGCGAATCCATTCGACAAGAAACAAATGCCAGCTCCAACTTTTGGTCCTAACAACAAGCCCTCCAAAGCATCAATGAGCCGCTACCGAAGTTTCGTCCACTAAACTTCACTGGTTCCTTTTTCAGTCACCATTGTATCGATAGCCATCGGTCCAGACAAGGTAAACCTCTCCTCGTCAGAAAAGATTGCTTGAATACAAGAAATCACTCTGCAACATGGGAGGCACCGCTAATTTTACAACAGCACCTGCCTCCAATCTTTCAGAACATGTCGCCGGGCAGGAACGAACAACCTTCTGGTGCGATGCTCTCCTCACGATTTCCCTCACAGTGTTGCTAATGCGTTTGATAGTTCTCCAGAACGTCAACTTCGAGCCAGACGACCCCGAGGCTGCTCTGATATGGCGTTGAACGTTTGCTTCTATACTTGCCGTTCAACTTTTGCGCTAGCTTCCTCTTTCCTTTAGTAGCCCACCGAAACCGTAGGTCTTGCGGTATTTAAGATAGGAGCAAACAACCCAGTTGCTAATGTCGAGGTACTCAGCGGTTTTCCGCGAAAGTGCGTGAAGTTCCAAAAAACTCCGTAACAATACCTTGATTGCCGAGATAGAAGTGCACTTCTACTCGGTCGGAGGCAAAGAAAAGCTCTTATCGTATTACCGTCTTCGGTGTTCCTCGGTGTGTGGGAGGGCTGTAGAGAGTCAATACTAAGCATTTTGGAGTTGCGGTCAGGACAGTTTTATGAGTCGAAACGACCGCAAGGATCCGAACCTCTTTGCCACTCCGATGAGTCCACCGACTTGTCAACTCACAATCGCTGCACTACGAGGGTGCTTCTCGGTTTACTTAGTGTGCAACACAATGGTATAACACAGCGAAAAGCGTATCCCGTTTCCCAGAGTCGTAGATCCAGCGGTTCAGCGCTACTTTCCCAAAGCTGCGTGCAAAGCTTTTGAGGGATATAATATGGCTAGCTGCCAGGACTAGCCACTTTACCTTTATACCTTAAAAGAACTCTTGAAAGGGAACTGTTCAAGAATATATGGAAAGAACAAATTTTGGCTCAAAAACATTAGCTGTTGCGAGGGCGAGACCTACTTGGGGAGAAAGACTTGAGTTCCGTTCAGGAAGCTTAAAAATTGCTAAACAGAGACAGTGGATTTTGTTTCACGCATAGTTCTCGTTATAATCAGTGATGCACTCAAATGGGTTAGAAAGCAGAAGAGCACAGTCAAAACAACTGTGACGAGTCAATGAAGTAAGGAAGATAGGAAAAAAGAAAAATCTGAGTGGAAAGAAGCTCATTGAATGAATGATTTTGATATAATGAAATGTGTGACGAAGAGGACCACCTCTTTATTTGTAGACTGCTCGGTTTCCTCGTCAGTCTTGTAGAGCATCATGCGATGGAACTCTGTCAAATGACACAGCAATCCCCACGCACTTTTGAAACGGTTGTCACATGAAGCACACTTGAGATGTTTGGGTTCACCTATAACACGAGAATTNAAAAGGGAAAGAGACCATTAGACACGAAACTAACTATTGCTTTTATCCTTAGTACACCCGGCAATGCGATGATCCTTGAAGGCTTCATAGTCGGCTGTTACGAAGCGGCAACTGCCACAGATCATCGTGTCAGGGATTTCTGCGGAATACTTCATTACTCAGGAAAGATTAATTGAAAAACGCTCTTCAAATGGGTGATTAAACAGTGTGCAAATATAAGTTCCAATTAATTCTGCATTGAAAATTTGAAACGAACAAAGGTGGCATCACTAAATAAAGAGCGTTATCCAGGAGGTATCATTATTTCTACTCGTAGACAAATCTTATTTGGACTGTAAACTACCTGCATGAGACAGATCGTTATTTGTCGTGGAATCACTGAGAGCAACGATTCGATTGCGCCGATTCGCTTCTTTTATATCTTCTTCGGTAGCAGCACGACAATCATCTTCTTCTCTAGCACGTTTACGTGGGACACTAAAAAGGTAACAAGGGTTGAAAATGCCCTCAAAAAGGACCACCGACCTATACTCCATAAAGAGGAAGTTTGGAAGAAATTCAAGAACGATGATAAATGTAAGAAAGCAATCAAACATGGCTCGAAATCACGCCTAATCAAAACAAAATAGCTTCAAGTAATCACGGAAAGTTCGAAGTATCACCACTCCAACGTGGAAGACGTCAGAGGTTGAACATCGATTACCTTTCCTGTTGCTCCACAGGCTTCTTTGGCGCTTGCGGATCCACAAGATGCACATCTGGAGTACATACACCTTTGGTACGTAATCGCTAGCATCAATATTGACGACAACAAATGAGAAAAATCGACACGATATCACATAGCATACCGAAACAAACAATAAAATATCGAAAAAGAAAAAAATGTTAACATTTAGAGCAATGATCGTGTGCAGATTTAACTGCTTAGATGCTCTGTAAACGCGTCTTGAACAGAGGCTTATTGGGGTTTTCATAACTCCGCTCTCAGTTCTGAAGGGCCAATGCTAGGAAAGCGTTTTTGAAAAGGGAACTGCATAGGGCATGTCTATACTTATTCATTCTTCACTTACAGCGATCTCTGGGTGAGCACAGTAATTTTACGGCGGGGGTCGTCGGCAAGACCAACATTCAGCGTTCTCAGCGATGCTTACGCCAACGCCAACTCAGGAGGCTGAATATCGCTTAAGCGCCTCCATGCGTGCTTTTCTTCATTCAAGAGCTTAAAAAGGGCTAAACGAGCCATCTGCCCTGAAGAAGTCGTCGACTGAAGCCGACACCGCCCTCCGAGTTTTGAGCCGACGTTAATCAGAAGCTAAAATTTAGAACTTACCGTGGGTTACTTGGATGGCCATCGAGCACGCAGCATAAGATTTGATGTTATTGACATTAAGATTGACAACAAACGTTTAACTGAAGAGAGACATAAAATTATGAAAAGCTGAGTGCTACAGGGTAACCCACATGAAGTGTGACACAGTGAACTAACATTAAAATTGTACAAATCAAACTAAGTAGGAAACATTAACTTTTATACAATCATCAATTCAGTTGTAAACAACATATCACATCTTGCATTGAGAATGACAACCCTTCGCCTTAATGCAAGCATCCAACCTCATTCGGGAGTTTTCAAGAATGCGCGCCATCACTTCCGACGAATTTCATCCCACGCTTTTCCATGAGAGCTTTTTTTCAGAGAGTCCGAGGACCTTGTTCGAATGCACAGGTTTTTTACTCCAGAATCGACCATACAGCAAAATCCAAAGGGTCGGGGATCGGGGAGTTTGAAGGTCAAATTTCCTTCGGCCAAAAACCCGAAAGAGTGGCCTCACATCATTGCAGTTCCTTCTTTGCGCAGTGGCCTGATGTCCGATCCTGCTGAAAGTTTCAGCTGACACTTTTCGCATTCGTCTCGGCCCAGGGGATCACCGCATCCTACAGCTCAGAACCGAACAAGTCGATTTTTTATCGCCCCTCACACTTCATGTGGGTCACCCTGTACACAACGGAAACAACTCAACAACGTGACAACCGTAATCAGTTAATTTTACAAAAAAGGGCAAGGCAAACATGCACCAACCACCAGAAAGGTGTCAAAGGATGCGCTTCGTTCCGCGAGTCCGTCAAGCTAGGTCACGCTGCAGCCGACGCACGCGGTGGATCGACCCGCGATATTGGACGGACGACGCAGTTTCAGTGGGGCATACGATTTGCACTTGGTCTACGGCAGTCAGATTGAAGAGACGATGTACGGACTAGTGTGAATCATTCGCTCCACCGGCACTTAATGGTAATGAAATGTCATCTCGAGATCGCAATGGTCTGGCCTGCGCCGCTCGCGGAGTGGGCGGGGTGAACTGGTCTCAACGGACGCGCGGAACGGACGTTCTCATTTACCGTTTCAATTCAAAACGGCTCTTTATTAATTCATTGTGAAAGTTGCGCAATTGTAAGACGTTGATGATCAGATAAAAGGTATATTTTCGTGACTATAGTAGACATTGGACAGTGGCGGATATTGCACGAATTCCGTGGAACTTTAAGAAAGAAACAATATTACGACGCTGGCCTATTGGTAAAAGTTCTCTATGAAAGCATGAAAGGAAGAAAAAAGCGCATTCACACTTCAGTCGCTATAATGCTGACGCCGGCGTTGGCTATCAATTCATAATTCGCACGTCAACGGGACTGACCGAACGGGGGAAAAGGGAATATTCAGAGGTAATGTTTTATCTCGAGATGTGAGAAGGCACGGTGACCTTTTTTTAGGTAGGTATTCTAGAAGAGTAAAAGGGAAAAGTTTCTTTAACAAGAAGAGAAAAGAAAGCAGTTGTATGAATCCATGGTCCGCAGCTGTTTGAGTATCTTTCACATGGGATTTATATTTTGTGACATTTCGTGACGACTGTGGTGCGGAAATTGTTCTATTAGGCTACCCGGCGATTGCCTCGCAACGGTGGAGTGGTTAGAACAAGGGATGAAAGACAGGAGTTATTGGTATCCTTTAGAGTAGATCGTCAGACGCTTCTGACGCAAGAACGTTAAAAACCCAGCGTCGGCGCCCACCGCTTTTGTGTCAACCGGCTACGCTTCAGTCAACCAATGGCGCTCGGCTCTAGCTACGGCGCCGGTTGTCAACCGATACCAATTTTTGATTGAATTTTTGGCGCTGTGTTGGAAGAACTCAAGCTACGGTGAATAGTTAAGGAAAAACCATCACGCCTAGCTTTCGCGACTCCGAACTGCAAATTACAGGCGACGACAAGTGCGAACGAGGAGAGAATGGGATAGAAGAATCGGCATTTGAGAAGAGACCATCGGCTAGAGGCCAAAAGCGCGATCATGAGCGCGGCCTCCTAGCGTCGAGCGCCACCAGTTAACGGTAACCTATTGCCCTCTGGCGCTCGTTGGAAGGAACGGCTGATAATCGAAACATCTCTTCACAAATCAGTGAAGAAGGGTCATATTAGGTTGATGGGAGTAGAATGGAATGAGCTGTAAGCAAACAAAAACTCATATGTCATGAAAATCAAAGTAAACATTAAAACAAATATAACGAAGCATTCACCTTCATGAAAACCAAAAACTCAAAAAAAAGAAAAACAAGAGAACGTTGAAAAAAAANAACGAAGCATTCACCTTCATGAAAACCAAAAACTCAAAAAAAAGAAAAACAAGAGAACGTTGAAAAAAAAAGCGAATAAGTCGCGCAGTCAGGTAAGTTCAGGTAGATTTCGCGCTCGTTAAGAAGCTCGGGCCACTGAAATCTTACCGAGTATTGTGCCCATCCACTTCTTCCCGTTCAATCCAATCACTGCAGCATCAGCTTCCGTGGACATCGAGAACTGTACGAAGGCAAAACCTTGCTAAAAAGGATATGGAAGCCTCTGGACAGCAGGGAATAAACATTGCTAAGAGACCTTGAAATGGTTGAGACCCAAAAGCGTCCCAAACGGTTTACAAAGATTGATGAGATCATCACGTAAAATTGGAAAACCAGCGAGGCGTCCAATAAAGACTCGTGACCTTGTTAAAACGGGGTCCTTAGAATTTGTATCATAACCAACATCTGAGTTCGCGGTAGAAGGTCCAGGTCCACTTCTGAAAAAAAAACATTTTTAATCAAAATTCCCTCCATGTGAAATTNAAAAAAAAACATTTTTAATCAAAATTCCCTCCATGTGAAATTTAGTCTAGAGCACGGATCAGCTGTAGAATGATACTCACATGTTTATCACAGGATTGCAAGGCATATTTGCTCCCACAGCACCGAAAAAAGGAGGTTGACCACCAAATATCATTGGAGGCGCAACTCCTGGAGGAGGAATCGACATCTGCGCCATGGTGGACGAGTGCATTTGCGCAGTTGGCATGGTAGGAGGTGTACGGGTCAAATTGAGATTTTCTGAACAGTTTCGTCCATCCAGAACTTATCCTTGGATCCAGGACATAAAGATTCGTAAGATCTTGGCTACAACAACGATAAATCATCTCACATCTCCGCATTAACAGTAAGCTCAATAACATTAAACTTAATGCGAAAAGAATAACACTCTTCCAAACATGAAAAGTTTAGCACAGTGAAATATGAGACGCTGCGCCTCCAGAATGAAAGTCTCGTACAGTTCCATTGAACTTTTCGAATGTTCAAAACGAGGTGATCATTAACAAGGTTGAATTTGACATTGTAAGTTGAAAATGCCTTAGAGAATAAGAGTAAATTTCGACTTTTGACGATTTCGCATTCACAATCTCATATCAAATGAATTCACTGATGCAATGCAAAAGGCTAACAGTCGTGATATGGTCACATGTTGTGAGCGAGAATGGGAAACAAAACCTGCAAATATGAATGGGGAAGATTCATTGGACATACCTGTATTGCCTACCATAACGCCTGGAGGAGGAAAAGACACATTATTCATCAATGCTTCTGTAATAAATACGCATAGCACAGCGTAGGGTGAGTAGAAAGACAGAAAGAACGCTAACGTGAACAAAAAAAANAAAAAAAACCATTTCTTAAACGAAGAAAAGAGGCAAAACCGTAAGCAACTGGCTGTTACTCTGAATGGTAACATGAAGAAGATAAAGGACGTACAGCTCTGCGCTTACCATCGACACTGCCTCCCACTGCCTTGACCTATCTGATAACGACTAGAACTCTAGGATAGCAGGACAAACATGCAATCAGGGACATTCAGCGCGCTGTGGATAGGATGATGCTAAGAATAGTTAAGACTGTTGGGCTGTAGCGATTACTGATTGGAATCCTCGAGGTTATACCTCTTCATGAAAGCTCTGGTCGAAAGGACTGCTATGCCTAATGTCCCTCGGGCGAGAGCGATCTACTGGATTACTCTGGCCAACGACAGGGACAAATGGAGACCCTATTTTCAATCGCTCGAGGAACTCGATAGTCATCGAGGTGACCGGTGGTACAGGTGATATCGTGAAACACTGCTTACCAAGAAAGTCACCTATCATCAAGGAATTTCTGAAAGACTTTCCCTTCCCGTAACGACAATAAAGAAGGCAGTATTTCGATTCTAGCAACTTTTCTTAGAAATTATACTTAGAGGCGTGTACCTCACAATGGCTACATCCATTACCCGCTACAGGTGACGGCGGTAAACGACGGCAGGCGTCATTGGCTGCTTTCGGACTTCGACGTCCGTCCGTCCGTTGACCGCGTGCCGCGACCGCGGTTCTAGAAAGGTGTTGACAGCGCTGGCACGTGATCCAGTGCTGTCAACTCCTTCCTAGAACCGCCGTCGCGTCACGCACGCGACCGCTGTCGCAGCACGCGTTGAACGGGCGGACGAACGAATGTCGAAGTCTGAAAGCGGTCATTGACGCCGTTATCTCACGTGATCGATGTTTTAAATTAACATTGAGGCAGTCTATTGAAGGTAAGAACTGCTCAATCGGTGCCGTAAGCAATGGTGTACGAAAGCGTAGGTGAAGCATGTCTGAGCGCCTCCAGAGAGTGAGTGTCTAGAGAGGGTCGCATTGGTTACCAGTAACATTTTATCGCGGCACTGATCGGGTGTCGCTCAGCTTCCAAAGCGGAGTACCGATGCAGCCAATTTGCGGCGTATCTTCTTAGTAACGAGCAATTCTATTAGCTAGCCGCAGCAGCTGGGCACTGATCTCGGCATGAGATACATTCCAGTGTAACCTACATATGTTAGCTTTACTGGAGGCTGCCTAAGTACAAGCAAAGGCGCATAGAAAACAGTATGTGACGAGTAAATGCAAAATTCCAGGACACTTCCTATCTCTTTACTCGTTTCTACGGTCCAGTAGGAACAGTCATAGTATCCTTCCCTCGGCAGCATTCAAAGTTTCTCATAATCCACACAGGTGATGCTACCAAATGGCCCATTAAGACCGTAATGATCAAAAGTGGGGATCTTCAGCCGATATCTGTCCTGCTGTTTTTACCTTCCAAATGCATGCCAAGGGAAACCTTTGGGATTTCAGAGCCCAAATAATTTTTATTCGTTGTTCTTAATGCTCTTCCCTTTCACTATTAAGTGCAAAATTCATGTGCCACAGAAAGGTCACTTTACATCAGCTAAGTTCAGGCAGAGAAAAAGAAGAATTGTATTGTGTAACTACAGCCGGGATTCCTTCATATTGATCGTTATTATTGGCAAACGACAGTCGCTCGCTGATAGTTGTCCGTAGCCGACTCTGAATGCAACCGTCACGGCAAGCACCGCTGCAACACGCGGAGCAGGACATGCAGTAGCAACTCAGCACTGAAACCATATATAGGTTTATAAACAAAGTTGTGATACAAGACAGTAAAAAACGAGGTCTTGAAATCTCCAAAAATACGTGTTTACCGTAAAGGGCATGAAATACGGGTAACATGGTACTTAGGAAAACGCAGGACAAGTATTCTCCTGATGTTGGATCCGAAGCAGAGCACACTATAATGCCCACAACGATGGACGGAACGTTTTTGATTTGGAAGTTCATCGGAACACCTGTTCCCGTCTTTCAAAGTCAAGCAAGACCCAAACAAATAGCTGAATTCTTCGACATCGCGCCATAACCCCAATATTCTAACAGTTCAACCTTATAGTGGCATGTCATATATCCATGGACAAACATGGCTAAAACAAGAATAGTTATGACTCGGACGATTCCGTCAACCGCGTTGTCTTCGTAGGTCTGAAGAGTTGTTCACTCTTACTTTGATGTAACGATAGAGATGATGGAAAGCAAGACGCAGAGCCATAGAATGAAAAATGAATATCCGTACCAGCAGAATGAAAAATGAAAAAGTAGTAATATGTATTACCTCTCCAACAATATGGAAAATCAAAATAGAAAGACTAAAAAGACTTGCTCTAAAAGTATTGCACGTAGGATAGCGTGGAGCGGGTGCATTTGCACCAGGAAAGCATTGTATTTGACGCTTGAATGATACATAGCCGTGGGAGTAAATCGTGGAACTAGAGCCACCTGTTTTGATGATGATCAGAGATGGTTCCAAAATATGGGATCTCTTCTTCTGCCGTGTTTGGTTGAACTATATGTTTTGTCTTCTGACAAACGGATCCATGCATGCTTGGGGGTTCATAACCTGCATAGCTGCTCTGCCACAAGCATGTATTCTAGTGACTGGGAGGTACTTGAGAGGGAGACTGGAGTCGTCTCTGACAAAAAAGCCTTCCCATTCTGGAACACCCCGGCTAGATACCCAAAGTCTACCTAGCTCTCACTTCAAAGTCTCGCAAGCTACTTGTGATTGACTATTTGCCAAAACAAGAATTCAAAAGGGCTTCATGCTTAGAACCAGGGGGTGCCTCCAACACGGCAGCGTGGGTAGGAGTGCTCGGGAGTGGCGGCTGAAATCCCAGGGCCTAAAAAGAGAAGGGCTAAGGTGAGTACGAACGCTTCCATTGAAGGCGGGTATCGAAGCTCTGATGATTTAAGTAAGACGTCATCGGAATAACTGAGACAACGAGGTACCGCTGGCTGTTCGCCGTTTCTGAGACTAATGAATAGCCGTTCCTTGAAGCATAGAAGAGGCGTTGGCGATATTGTGTCCCACTTGCCAGTCAACATAACGATCCGTTCTAAGCCCTTGCCTTCCGGTTGGGTCTCTGAGGCTGAGATAATGTGGCTCAATTTCAGCTCCAACAATGTAACCAACATTGAGATATGACGGAAGGGAGCTGGAAGTATTCCGTGGGAATGGAGTTGAAGGAGTGAAGGACTGTCCGAGTTTATCATATCCATGATAGTTCGCAGTTCCAAAAGCCCTTTCATCCCCGATGAACTTGTGAGCCAGTCCAATGATGAAGTGGATCAGATCATCTTTGACCAAAAGTTCCGCCTGTCTTGGTGAGCTGTTGTTCCGAACTTCTGAAAGGGATCGGACCATTGCCTTCTCGCGTTAGATTCCGTTCCTCAATGCGCGGAAAAAGAGTCGCGACTCCCTAAAAACAAAGCCCAATGGCTGCCATCAATTGGGATCACTTCGTTTTCCTTCCGGACATATGGGAAGTTCCGCTATGACAACATCGACGAATCTTCGACTGGTACATCGGACTCGTCGAAGATCTTCACGATAAAGTTGGGGACAGACCTTTTTCGAAGACTCTTAAGCTCATATGCCAGCTAGTAATCACTGGAACTGCATCCAAACACCTACCAACCTGCAAACTCGCGAAGCCATCTAGAGAAGCGATAAAGGAAGATCTAACGGAAAGAATGGTAGCAGTTCTGATGCAGGCCGTCGAGATCTTGAGTAACATCCATAATGCTCCGTCAATCACAAGATCAAAGGACTACCACGGTCTTCCACTTCCTCTCCAACAGCTAAGTCTACCTGCCTACACACCACCTTGGACCTTCGGTCTTCGGATACGCCTTTACTGCAGCTTCCCTTCCGGAATTCGACACGCCAACGGTCGATGAAGAATTGTTCGGCGCCCAGGTACAGAGAGAACTCGTTCGAAATATCTGAAAAGCCGTCTTCAATACAGTCGAAATCCCAGCTCGGAATTTCGCTCTGTCTTGTCGTAATGCAAGGTACCCATTTCGCTGAAGAACGAAAGAAGAAGAAAGACTAGTTGCAGCAAAAAAAAAAGAAAGATTTAGACGGCAATGCTTGATCTGCCCTTTGTCTACAATCTATGTACATCTAATCTCTTCACGAGAGTCATTTTTAAGGGAATCAAGGAGAGCAGTCATGCGAGCAAACAGGGTTCTGGAAGCAGTTCGGTAATATCAATTCATTATAACCACTCTATCACAAGACCCACTGAACACGACAGTACAGGTTGCCTTTATGTCTTACCGAGAACGAAGCGGTAAGACATAAAAGTAAAAGTTCATCCTGCGCACTTATTTGCCTCCTGCACAATTATGAATACCATGGAAATGACTCCGCTACCAATTATGGTAAATTAAACAAGTTCTACTAAATTGTAAACGATCTCGAA